CATATTACTTAATGTCATCTGTTTTAAAGTGTATCCTGCTCGACCGGGCGTGGCTCAGCGGTTGAGCGTCGACCTAGGATCCAGGCGATCAGGGTTCGATTCCCGGTCAGGACACATGCCCAGGTTGTGGGCTCGATCAATGACTCTCTCATCATTGATGTTTCTATCTCTCTCTCCCTCTCCTTTCCTCTCTCTGAAATCAATAAAGATATATTAAATAAATAAAGTGTATCCTTACAGCCAAGTAATAATTATATTGTAAACTACCTAGAAAACGAAGTCAAGGTGTAATTTTTCTGGGTCTAAGAATAATTAGTTTTAACATCCTCATTGGAAAAAAATTCAGTGCTCTGAGCAAGTGAAGAAATGTGCTTATTAAAAAGTGTGGTATTGGGCACAGTTATTACAGTGTATATAGCTTGTGATCAACTGGTTGCCAAACGAAAATGTATATTCTGCGTATTGGTGGAAGCATGTCTTTCATGTTGCATGTTAGTGGGAAAAAATACTTCAAATTAGTTGAATGGATTAAACTATCTTATTGACTTTTCCATATGGAGACTATCTGTGTATGTCAGAGTAGGAAACTTTTTTATCAGCTTTGAGGATAGTTACTGAGATTGAATGTATAAAACAAAGGATCCCTGTATAATTTAATCACGGGCATGCTGTTATGTGATTTCTTTCTTGGTGGTTCAAGGAAATTCTAGAATGATGTTATGCATTTGTGTCTGGATGAATTATATAGAATTTCTAGCTCATGTTTGTTTTCCTATTGAAAGTGACAATATCTAACTCAGGGTTTTCAGTAAATGTAATGTTATTAATAAAACTCACCTGTATACTAACCCTCCTTTTAAACAATGCTTTTAATTACTAGGGATTTTGGTTTGCCTTTTGCTTTCTTGGGCAGTTAAGAAACATTCAGGTAACAAGGTCAGCATAGTGGAAATGTTGAAAACATATGCCCAGTAGGTGGATTTCAGGACATGATGGGAATGAAATGTTGGACTGTGTATATGTACAGAGTTTTAGAATTTAGAACATGATATGAAAAAAGAGTAAAATTTCACTTGTTTAGATTTCTCTTGGCTGGTCTCTCAATCTTAAGTAAGACGAAGATTCAGGGAGTAAGAGAGGAAAGTTTTCTTAGGGAGCAAAATAGATCTCCTTTCTCCTTAGGTCCTTAACCTTATAAGAGAGGCCTCTACATGCTTTTATCGCCTTAGGACTTTACTTGATGTGCCTCCATTACATTATTTTATGTAATTGTTCTAACAGATTTGTTAGGTTTTCAAGCCCACAGATAATTTAAAGAAATGCAAATTGCTCAAGTACAAATGACACTATTCAAGGGAGTGAAAACTACCCCCTTCCAAAAAAATCAGAGGTAAAAAATTCTAAAACCATAGCAATATAGTAGCTTTACTATAGGGATATATTGGATACACAACCCAAACAGCTACCTCAGGGAACTTCTGAAGTCATACATGATCCATTGACTAGTGAAGGAAGATTAAATCACTGTTGACCCTTGAACAACATTGGTTTGAACTACTCACGTTCACTTACACTCACATTTTTTCCTATAAATATGTAGTGTCTTCCTGTATCTGGGTTTCACATCTGTGGAAACAACCAACAGAATTTTCCATCTGCAGCTGGGAATCTGACAATGCAGAGGGCATTCTGTATGTATGGTTCTCCACCACTTTATATACATGACTTGAGCATTCAGGGATTTTTGTATCCATGGGGTATCCAGAAACTGATCCCTCACTGATACAGAGGAAACACTCTACTTAAGTAATGTTTTAGGGAATTCAAAAGTCATATGTGGATTTTCAACTGCGTGGGGGCCAAACTGCTGCATTGTTCTAGGATCAATTGTGTATTTAAAGTAATGTCAAGACAGTAGAAATTTTTTCATGTAAGGCTATTCAAATAAAACTTGATTTTAAATGGCTCTATTCACTTATAAAATACTCATTTCACTAATATGAAATGAAGCCTTATATTTTGAAATAGTTTAGTCCATATTTATTTTGACCTATGACATCCACTATGCTTAAATAATAATTACCTCTAACCACAGCATTTCTTGAGCATCCACTGGGTACAGAGTGTAGTAGAAAAGAAGGTGTGTGATTGATCCCTGACCTTTAGGGACTTGCCTCCTGAGAGGAGACTGAGCCTGAAGTGATAAATCATCAGTTTGTGGAAGAGCAATCTGATCGAGGGCTGTAAAGTCTTCTTAGGGGAGAGGTGAGTGTGAAATGAACTCAGAAAAAAATGGGGTCCAAACACACCTTGCCCCAGCAGAGGGAACAACAAACCAGTCCAGCGAAGAGAAGTACAAGCTGTGGGTTGTTGATAGTTCTAAACAGGGTACTCAGGGCCAGTCACAGAGAGCATCTGACATTGGCCTGTACCAGAAACCCTCCAAAAAGTCTGGGAGTCCTAGCAGATCCACCTAATACATAGAAACAAACCTAAATAGGGAACCAAAATGGGGAGACAAAAAAAAAAGCCCCAAATGAAAGAACGAGAGAAGTCTCCAGAAAAAGAGCTAAATGAAATGGAGATAAGCAAGCTATCAGATATAGAGTTCAGAATACTGATTGTGAGGATGCTGAGAAAAGATATGGAAACTATGAAGGAAATTAAATATGACATAGCAGAAATAAAGAATACATTGGAAGGAATAAACAGATTAGAGGAAGCTGAGGATCAGATCAGCAAATTAGAAGACAGGGTAGAAAAAATCACTCAATCAGAGATCCAAAAGGAAAAAACAATTGAAAACAGGAGGACAGTTTAAGGGAGCTGTGGGACAACATGAAACGTAACAATATTTGCATTATAGGAGTGTCAGAAGGGGAAGAGAATAAGCAAGAGATAGAGAATTTGTTTGAAGAAATAATGGCAGGAAACTTCCCAACCCTGTCAAAGAAAAAGTCACACAAGTTCAGGAGGCACAGAGAGTCCCAAGCAAGAACCCAAAGAGGCCCACACTCAGACACATCATAATTAAAATGCCAAAAATTCAAGACAAAGAGAGAATCTTAAAGGCAGCCAGAGAAAAGCAAACTGTTACCTACGAAGAAGCTCCCATAAGGCTGTCAGCTGATTTCTCATCAGAAATTCTACAGGCCGGAAGGGAATGGCATGAAGTATTCAAGGTAATGAAAAGCAAGGATCTGAAACCAAGACTACTCTATGCTATCATTCAGACTAGATGGTGAAATAAAGAGCTTCCCAGACAAAAAAAGGCTAACTGAGTTTTTTACCATCAATCCAGCATTGCAATAAATGTTAAAAGGACTCCTGTAATAAGAAGAAATAGAGAGAGAAACATAGGCATAAAGAATTAAAATGGCGATAAATAAGGGCCTATCAATAATAGCCTTCAGGACTTTAAGGGAGAGATCAACAGCAACACAGTCATAGTCAGGGACTTTAACACCCCACCGACTTCAACACAGAAACAATGACTCTAAATCGCACACTAGATCAGATAAATTTAATTGACATTTATAGAACATTTTACCCCAAAGCTGCAGAATGTACATTCCTCTCAAGTGCACATGGGTCATTCTCAAAGACAGACCACATGTTAAGACACAAAACAGGCCTCTACAAGTTCAAGGAGATTGAAATCACATTAAGCATCTCGGATCACAATGGCATGAAATTAGAAATCTACAGTAAAACCACTCAAAAACATTCAAACACATGGAGACTGAATAGCATGTTATTAAACAATGAATGGGTTACCAATAAAATCAGTAAGAAAGAAATCAGCCGGCCAGACGTGGCTCAGTGGCTGACCATCGACCTAGGATCCAGGAGATTGCAGTTCGATTCCCGGTCAGGGCACATGCCCGGGTTGCAGGCTCAATTCCTGGTCAGGGGCGTGCAGGAGGCAGCCAATCAGTGATGACTGTCTCATCATAGATGTTTCTCTTGCTCTCTCTCCCTCTCCCTCCCTCTCTCTGAAATCAATAAAGATAAAAAAGAAATCAAAAAGTTCCTGGAAACAAATGAAAATGAACACACAACAATCAAAATCTATGGGACATAGCAAAAGCAGTCCTGAGAGGCAAGTTCATAGCACTACAGGCCTCAAAAAGCAAGAAAAATTTTTCGTAAATCATCGAACCCTACAACTTAAAGAATTAGCAAGCTGCCCTGTGAAGCCATCCAGACCAGGGCTCTTGTTTGCTGGGAGTTTTTTGTTACTGCTTCGATTTCATCAGTTGCTATTGGCCTATTTGGGTTTTCAGATTCTTCCTGATTCAGTTTTACATGATCTCACTCACATGTAGAATCTAATAAACAAAACAGACTGAGGAACAAAATAGATCCAGAGACATAGAAGCATGGAACAGACTGATGAATCTCAGAGGGAAGGCGGGGGTGGGGGAGTGGATGGGGAGAGATTAATCAAAGAATTTATTTGCATAAATGCAAAACCCATGGACACAGACAATAGTGTGGTGAAGGCCTGGGGGGAGGGA